CACGCTTACTTACCGGTACGCTTCTCTCTCTACTTTCTAGCCCATTACAATACAACCGTCGTTGAGGTTTCGTGATATCAGTCGTTCTGCTTTGGCTCGTTACCTCGTCCGTTGTTAGACGAATTCGTGGATATCATTAGCCCAGAGACCAAATAGTCCTTGTGTTACAGCAAACATATTCAGTCTTCTTTGGCAACAAATTCAATTATTCTAAATAATCAACACACGCACTTCTATCATTTTGTGTTAGAAATAGAGCCAGCGATGAAGGTTATGTACATGAAAACTAGTGAATACAAGAAATTAACATCAATATAATGAAGATTAGCACATCTAATTCCAAGGCCCGGCCACAGTTCTCCAGTGACAGGGTAGTCAACATCTGGAACAGACTACCTTGGGAGCCAGTAGAACTGCAGACTGTGCTAGCATTCAAGACGGTACTGGACGAACGGTGATTTGAACTTTTTCCTAAAGTGGAGGTCCGACGATCCAATTCAGTTCTGACAGGATGAAATGTGGCTCTCGCCAATCGAGCGTCCAGATTTGTGTGTTGTCGGCGAGTTTCCTTGGTTTTCAACACTTCGATATGCAATTTTTCTGAAAGGCAGAAATATGTGGTGCAGTATCACATCCCTTGTGGTTAGGTTATAGATGGTACTAAACGCTTACCTCAGAGAAAACCACCATCCAACACTCATCAAGTGCCTTTTTAAAAGCATACACAGTACTGCAGGTTACCACCGACAGCGGCGACCGGTTCCACAACGGAATTACCTTATTGGTGAAAAAGTTGCTCTCAGTTGTAGCCTGGAGTGGCTTTGCAGCAACCGTAAGTTATATTCCCGCGTGCTTCTACGCGGGATCCAGGAGAACAGATCGTCAAACCTAAGACCTGACATACCCTTGAAGATCGTAAATGTCTCCATTAGGTCTCCTTTCATCCGCCTCCGTTTCAGGGAGAACACATTTAAATCTCTGAGCCGTTGTTCATAGATCTTCCCCCGTTGCCCAGCTATCATTCTCGTAGCTAGACTTTAAACCCTCTCTAAGGTATCAACGTCCTTCCGAAAGAATAGAGCCCAAGCCTGCACACGATATTCCAGATGCGGACGGACGACGCTTTTGTGAAGAGGGACAAAGACCTCTGGTTTTCTGCATGTCATCGTTGTGCATAGACGAAACAGGTGCCCTCTGGCTTTGTTTGCGGCCTTCACACATTGGGTGCTGAATTTGAACTCCTGCGTGACCACTATGCCTAAATCCTTTGCCTTGTGCACCCTCTGCATCGACAGGCTCCTTGCTGTCTCTTAGTCATTTCTGGTCGTCAGTATCTGACATTTAGTGGTAGGTCCCATTTTTTGGCCCATCTTTTTACTACCCTTATGTCCCTTGCTAGATCCCATCCAGCTATCTTGACGTCATCTGCAAACAGAAAACAGGGATTTTGGACATCCTGTGTTAGGTCGGTAATGTGTAGCAGGAACAACGGTGGTCGAAGTACGGATCCTTGGGGTACGCCGCTTGTGACCACTTCCTCCTCGGGTTTAAGCTCCCTCTTTGACATTAAACGTCTTCTGCGCAAGAAAGCCCATTATCCAGCTCCTGACTTGCCTATCTACTCCCAATAACTGCATCTTATGCTTCAACAGAAGGTGGCTGACCGAGTCGAATGTCTTCTGGAAGTCCGGATAACATATCTCCACCGGTAGGTCCTCAATAATCCTACGTGTGACCTCATCTAGGAACATCAGGAGGTTTGTCAGACCAGATCGCTTTTCAACAAATCCGTGCTGAGCTGATACCAACAGCTCGTTATTGACCATGTAGTGACATATTTGTCTTCTAACTATGCGCTCCAAACACTTACATACCACTAATATCAAACTTAGGGGTCTGTAATTCTCGGCTTTTTGCCGGGATCCAGACATGTGTATTGCCACTACTGTGGCTTTGCGCCAGTCGTTCGGGACAGTTCTCAGTCTAAGCGACTCTTGAAATAACTCGAAGATCGGCCCTACTATTATGTTAGCCAGTGGTTGCACAATCGCTGGATAAATTCCTGGAACCTATTTAGCCCTGCTAACTCCCGCTGCACATCCTGAATTCACCCAATGATTAGGGGCATCGTACAGTTACCTTCGATTGACGGAAGGTTATCTGTCACCCTGGGGATCCTGTACGTGCTTTTGAAGAATCGTAACAAGATACGTGCTCTATCGCCTTCACCCACTGCTAACTCTCCGGTCGACGATTCCAGAGTACCAACCGTTTCCCGAGTGTTGCGCTTAGATTGAACATACGAGTAAAACACTTGGGATTTTGCTTGACGTTTTGCGCCAAGTTTCTCTCAAATTGGTATATAGCCTCTCCTTGCACTTTCTGTGCATAGTTGCGCGCTTGTTTGTAACCATTCCACGACTGATGGATGCCATACAGTTTGTAGACCGCCCATCGTCTTCTACGAATGGTAATAGCCCTATCTATATTTGCTTTCCACCAAAGAAGCCGTTGCTTCTTTCCTAACGGAACCAAAGTTGCGAACCTATCGGTTAGTAGGAGAAGTCCTCTATTTATATGGCTCCATCTGGTTTCCAGAGATGCATTAGCTGGGTTGGGTACCCAGTTTATATCCCGCACCGCTCTGGCCAGTAATTCTTGGTTGATTTAACCATATCGCCTCCCGAGTTTGGCCGCTGGTTTGTTGTGTCTGCTTTCTAGCATTAGTCGCAAGACCACATGAACACTTTTCCCTAGGGGCTCCTCCTGGTTGTTGTCCTTATGTTTCCAGGGGTTCTGGTGATCTCTAAAAGCAGTCCATCCCCGGTACCTGCTGGTGCTGTCTCTACTCCAGTTGATCTCGAGCATGTTGAAGTCTCCCACTAACAACACCCTTCTGGACGTTGCAAGGAATAATTGCAGCTGAGCAATCAATTCCTGATCTTCCGTCTCAGTCGCCTGCGGAGCCCGGTAGACGCACATGATGGTTAATGCGTTACTGTCTATTTTAACTACGCAACTGATGGTTTGTATGTTGGGAGTCGCTAGTGCTGTTGCTGCTTCCCACTGCGTGTGATCTGATTTTATCATTATCATTACCCCCTTGCCTGCCATCCACCCTATCTTGTCTATAAATTGTGTAGTCATCCATCCCCTGGGTGATATGGTGCTTCCGCACTCAGGATTCAGTTATGGCCACCATGTCTATACCTGGGGTGCGCCGTCGCACCTTTCCCCACTTGTCCCGTATACTGCAAGCATTGGTGTACCACAGTGAGACGGTGTCTCCTTACGCATGCCTGCTGGGTTGGGAGCTCACTTCTGGAGGATCCTCCAGCTTAATGCCCGAGGCGGTACCCCGTTTTTGGGGGGAAGGGGAGGGTTACGGATGTGGTCGCGGTTTCTTCTGCTTCCCAAGCCATTCCACTTTTCTCCCTGTAAATGACTTTTATCGTCATTCCAAAAGCCTCCTCTACCCCCATAGGTACATCCTTTTTCACTTTTGGAGTATTTAATTTCCATTGTAATGGGAGAGCTGGGGACTGAGCAGCTACTGGGGATTTCGCTACTATTGTCGGCCATGTGGCTGGTTCCTTACAGCTCTCCGTGGTTTCCTTCTCCGGACTGGTAGCTGCAACCAAGTTCTTTGGTTGTGGTGCTCTGTCCTGTGTTCGTGGTGGGTTTGACCACAGCTTGCGGACCACAGTATTGCCCTTTTTAGCCCTCTTTTGTGGGCCCTTTCCTACATACGGTTCATTCTTTGGCACCTTCGGTGTGGATCCGCTCAAAGGCTCTCCAGTCGTTGGTACGCAACGAACTCAGTCTTTGGTTTGGTGGCCGCTTACATTATTCCCCCTTCTAACTGGGTGTATCACCCTGATCGGTCTATCGGGGGTGGCTATTATACGCCCCCGAGTAATATCCTCGATCCTTGAGGCTCGTGATAAAGGCAAATCGCTGATGTGAGTGTTTGGAAATACCACTAAAAAAGGCCATGGACCACGTGAGCTTTCCTTTTTCCGCAGGTCAATTCCGTGGCACTTGATGTGTGGGGTGCTGGGGGAAAACCTTTCATAGCAGTCGCATTTAATCCCCTCGGCGACATACTCTGCACAACAATTGGCCCCACACGCGTTGGAATTTTTCGATTGTGCCATTCCAAGTTAATCTAGAAATGTTTAAATACACAGTTTTCTAACCATGAAGAAGTAGACACAGGTGACACCAAAAACGTAAAAAATACGCTTTACCAAACTGCGAACCACCGAAGTGCACGCAGAAAAATTGCTTAGTATAAGGTTTGTGATCTTTGACGGATCACGAACGACACTGGTGAACGTAAAACTACTTTAAGAGTTATTTGAGTGAAATATCTACTAATATTTCACTAGTACCAGACAAAAAGTGTGAACGAGATAGAGCACAGTGGAAATTCAAACCGCGCACTAACGTATCGTACCTACGGACCCAAGAAAATTAGGAGAGAGGGAACGGGAAACTCAGGTTGCATCTTTTCGTTTTGTTCCACCATTTATTGGAATGTAACGTAGAAGATAAACGCTGACGTATAACAATCTCTGGCCTTGGAGTGAGATGAGTAACCGCTCCCTTTTCTTCCTCTTTCAACCAGGAAGTTACGGACTACTTTTCGCAGTGGTGAGTGTCATACTTGACCACACACCACCGAAGGAATTCTGGACGCTCGAATGGCCAAGACCCTTTTATGTCCTGCACAAACTGAACTCAACTGAACATCCAGAAGTTCAATGTGCCGATTATATTCTCACGGGCAATATCTTAGTGTAAAAATTATTACTCTTAACAAGTAGATAAAGAAGTTGACCTAGGGGAGTGTCGATTGAGTCTTCTAGTTTAGGGACACCTTATTAAAAAAGCCACGATTCATTCTCTTAGAATGGAACTGGCCATTCCATTTGTTTTAACCCATCTCAATTTGAGTACTCTTCTTAGCGCTCAAAAGGAATACACTCGCGGTTAGCATGTTATTGTCCGCTGGTACTGATGGACCCGTTCTGGGTCGTCTAGAACTGTCAGACGGATCCAAATTTGATGGGATTCTGTATGGTTCTTGCAATCAAACCGCTGGGGAAGTTGTTTTTCAGACTGGTATGGTGGGATATGTGGAGTCACTTACGGATCCATCATATCATTCTCAAATCCTGATATTGACATATCCATCCATCGGTAGGTATCATTTAGATATCGTGCGTATGCTTTAGGAAATTATGGTGTTCCCGACGAGAAAGAACTGGATGAATATGGTCTACCAAAGTGGTTTGAATCTGATTCGATATACGCTCGAGGATTGGTTGTATCAGAAATATGTGTTGAGTACTCGCATTTTGCAGCGAAAATGTCTTTAGACGAATGGCTAAAGGAAAAAGGAGTTACGTGTCTCAGCAATGTCGATACCAGAGCTTTAACTCAAAAGATCCGACAACATGGTAAATAATAATGATACAAATTACAAGCCATTTCATCCAGGTACGATGCTCGGCCGAATCTATCGAATTTCCGGCGATGGTTACATTCCTGAGTGGTATGATCCGTCTTTGGACAACCTAGCCTCCGCAGTGAGCTGTAAAACGCCCAAAACGTATAATCCTACTGGTGATGTGCATATAGCAGCCATTGATTGTGGTATGAAATTCAATCAAATTCGTTGCTTCGTTAGTCGTGGAGCTAAAGTGAGTTATATTTTTCCTGCTGCATTCCATTTGTTGTAAAATTTTGAAGCCTTTGAAATCCTGAATTTGCAATTGCACAAGGCGCTTTAAATTTTGGAGTTATTCGTATCAGTTTTCAATACTACTTTTTCATTTGCAATATTACCTACAGCTTTCCGTATTTGGCTTTGAAGAAACATTTCAGAATTTCTGGTGAAAAATGATAGTTCGGTGTAGATTTTTTGTACCGGCATAAGAACGCACTCAAACTATGTATCATGATGCATATAAAGTACATTTTCTGTGGTTTGATATTGAAACTATCTGTTTCAGACTGCGATTTTGGTATTAGATTAATATTACGTCACCTCTAACATGAGAATAATAGCTAACTATTCCCAAATTTACAATATATGCTTGATTATGCAACCGCAGTTTCACTGTGTTCGGCTCAACAGGTCTTTTCTACTAATGAACATGCAGCTTATGAGTGATGGAAAAATTTGTGATGACCGACATAGCATGTTTTCCGAAAACTAAATTCTGTCATCGTTGGAAACAAGACTTGGCAACTAATCATGCTCCGGCAGTTATTTCTTATGCTTATGTGCACTGGATGTATTCTGCGCTATTAATTATCCTCAAATTAAGTACGTGATATTCAATTTATGTGTTTCTGAGTAACCGAAATAAAAATAGCGAATTTAGATGCTTTGCCCAGGGTTTGAGTTATCTGATTGTCTTGTGAATTCTTCCATCGTGACCTTGCTGTTCCTTATCGGAAACAAGTATGGAATCGTAATTTGTAAGCGTTTCTTGACATTATGCCTACATATCGACTTTGATTCTTGTTTTAGAGTTTGATAGCTAATGCCATTAAGTATGAAACCATCATGGATGTGATGAATCTTTCGTTTCGTGAACCGTTGCGTTTGTCCAAAGCTAGTCCCTATAACTGCGGTGAAATAAAGATTAAAACGGACGGTGCTACTGTGAACTATTGACTGCAATGGGAGCTGGTTTAGACAGGGTTGACGGTTCAAGTAGGGTTGTAAAGAATAAAGATAAGGTAGCTCTGTATATCTCTCGGGTAAGAGCTCATTGCGGAGAGACTCACGGTTGTAGAGATCATATGGTATGACAAAGTGATGAGAAATGAACAGTTGTTGGAGATTAGCTTAGGTAGCTCAATGGGCTACCTAATCAGGGTAACGACCGTTATCCAATTTTGGATAATGATAGNTAATGATAGATTTTTTAAATAATTAGTCGCCCATTTATTTTCCATAGCTCGATGGTTATTCGTTTGAAACGTTTCCCTTGTGTGGAAACATTTACCATTATTAATTGATGCTCACACATATTTCAGTTTATAGGGTCAATAGTTTGGTCATTCAAATAACGTTAAGCTTACTGTTCTTCAGTGATATCGCTCTCAGGATAGTTTATCATTTTCAGCTAGATAGTTTTCCAAATTATTTTGCACCGCTTGTTTATTGTGAAGCTTTCCGTTTTTCACAGGTAACGGTTCTCCCGTTCGGTACCGACCTTTCTGAATGTACGGAAACGTTCGATGCACTGTTTGTTAGTAATGGTCCGGGAGATCCTGTTCAATACTCGCATGTTGTCACGCAAATAACACGCTGGATGGAGAAGGACAAACCGCTTTTTGGTATTTGTCTTGGTCATCAGTTGGTTTCCCGAGCGATTGGACTAAAAACCTATAAAATGAAGTATGGAAATCGTGGTCATAACCAACCTTGCATTCACTTGAAATCCGGTCGCTGCTTTACCACTAGCCAGGTGAGTTTCCGGAGTGGTGTACATCGCACTGTTAATCGAAACGCCAAAATAGTGTAGTTGTTGATAAGGGCAAATGAATGTAATAAAATGGTTGACATTTTTCAGTGTGAGATAGAGAAGGGTTTAAATTATGGGTTGGCCAATGAAATGTTTAATGTTCTTCTAGTTTATCAGTCTCAGTTTAAAGTTTACCATACCGTCTCAAAATACATTTTCATGCACCACTGATTTCAGTATAATTCAGATTTGTATTAAGCACACCATCGATTTTTTGTTACATACTTTCGTGTTATGAACAGCAGACGGGGTAAACCCCATAGTCACGAGGACCTGCTGTTCAGTGATAGAACCCGGTAACCTAAGTCCCGGGACTTCGAGTGGTGAACCACATAAGGCCTCGATAGGTTAGACGTGGTATTGAATCGGACGACAGCAAAGCTGCCTACCACCGAGGTCGGGTGGCGTTGGCAGGGCTCGAACCTCGGATCTGCGACAGCAACTAAACCACTGCGCCACCATCACCACGGCAGCAAATAAAATGAATATTTGTTTGAAGACTGTTACAATAAGTAAGCTCAAATCAGGTCAGATACTGATAATTGTAACCGGGGTTGAAATATGAATAAAGTAAAACTGCTCTTGTGCTGCCCATGAGAGTTCGTAAACACCAAGTCTGCATATTGCTCTCGTTTGTGTCTCACTTCGTCGAAATTTGTTAAATATCCGTGTATGAATATATTCATTATCAGTTTCAGTTTCTGCAACCAATAACCATGCACTTTTATGCGCCGGTTTTGGTTATTGTCTCCTGGATTCCCATTAGGATATATTCATTTTGCGATGAAGTAGTGTGATAACCGGCAAAGGGCACCGGACAGTTACTCTGTCCATGTTTAACCTCACCAGCAACGGGCACTATTTTTCCCCCGTTTGGACTCCCATTGAAAACCTCGGGTTGGGGGGCTCAGATACTTACCCGTAAGCTGCACGATCGATGATCTGAGCTCAGGGAGACATGAAAAGAACCAAGATAACCAAACTCTGGTGTTTGTGAATTCGCATGGACGATTCCAGATAGTTTCAACTCATATAGCCACTTGTTTAGGGTGATGACCGTCGGTCTCATAGCTTGATGGTTATTGGTTTCTACACCCCAAACCGAACGTTTGCGATTCGATTTCTGCTGGGGACAAAATGGTGTCCACTGCTGATGAGTCCGGTGCTCATGATAGGTCATCATCACAAAATGAAAATACGATGAAAAATGGAAATAAGACCACTTTTTGAATGGCATCAACATCTACACAGGCTTCTCTTTTAACGGCGGAAGGATACTTCTGATTGTGAGAGAAGAATGCCACGGACTGTTTATCTTGATTGAGGTAAGCAGAAATAGCCAAAGGTTTCAAATGATCAATGTAAGCAACTCTAACAGTTTCTAATTCGTTTTTCAGGGCAGTGAATTTACGAAAGACAGTATCGTATTGCGGAAAAATTCCGTTGTGTAGATGGATTTTGTTGGAAAATTAGGTATCTAATAGGATGCCGACGACGCTGTTTGTACTTGAAGTTGGGTGGGGGTGGGAGCTCACATGGGGGACTAATTTGGGCAGTGTTGGGTCTCAGTACCTCTCTGGTCATCTCATAGCCCAAGAAGCGTATCCTGCTAGATATTACACTTCTTGGCATTAATTATAATAACGTTTTCCCTGGTAGTTCTCCGGAACCTGCCTAATACCTATACATATTTTTCCTCCGTACAACCACATATATTCACACTATCAACGTATTCAAAGGTATTGGGTATTTCTTCGTCGCTAGTGATTTGGCCGATAGTCCGTTGAAAGCAGGTTACCTAATTGGTGACGACTAACGGGGTTCTAAAAAACTGTTGTAATCGACCCACGGCTTCAAATGTGGTTCACAGTTTATCCTCTTCTTTCATAGGGATCTGGTTGTGATATAAGCCTCATGTTGAGAGATTCTGGTATCTAGTTCCTCAATTCTAGGAAGAGGGTGAACGTTGAGATGGGTGAAGTGGTTGATCTTCTTGTAGCCCACCACCACGAGGAGCTTGATGCTCTCACTTGGGGTATTCAGTACCTGCGCGCGTCAATGCGACAAGGACGGTTCAGTGACACGGTTTGGTAGATGATTTGCGCTTTCCTTATGGATTAACCGGTCATCCATTGGGAATGTCTATGTGACCGGCAGTACAAATGTCAAACTCTGGAAGTGAGAGGGAGCCTCTAAACGAGGAGCATTGAGTAAACAGAAAAAGTTTTAGTGAAGTTAAACGAAATTTCGACTTTTGAATGCAGCCTGAGGAAATCGTGTCCAAGCAGCATATCAGCATCCAAAAACGAGAGAACAGAAAGTCGCACTTTGCCTTATGCATTATCTTTGAATCGAATGCAGACAAAACAGCGACCACATGTTTCACAAAACAGTCGTTAGATCTCGGGATAATGCAACTTTTGGAGCTCACAATTTTCCAGTAATAATTGGAAACAGTTAAGACAGCGAAGTAGCTTTGTGCACTACCAGTGTCAAGTGCCCGTAACGGGAAGTGGTCAACAATGATGGAAGCAGTTTCATACTTGAGCGGAGATGAAAAACGAAAGTAAAAACAGTGTGGAATGCCAAACCTTTTCTTGTGAGTATCAGATTTACATGCATGTTAGAATTGACCTTACCGAAATTGTTGCAGTTCGCTTCCTTGTTGGGCCACTATGTGTTGCGGTGTTTTGAGAAACCACAGAAAAATCACTTGGCAGCTGGGTCATCACACAGATTATTATCTGGAATAACATATAGTTTTCGGGGCCTTATTGACATGATTGAGTTACACACAGGGAATGTCGTGAGGTTTGATTGAACTGTCTCCGTCCCGGCTCTAATGCTTTGGTTATGTTCAATGCTGTTTAGAGATCTACAGAGGCATGTTCGAGTAGTGTTTGTTGTACGACCTTAGACTCCATACCAGTTGCCTAGTTACCCTGGATACAATCGTTTTGATTCTCTTCTGCTGAAACTGGTAGTGTTCGAATATTGCTGTCTATGTCACACTGCGAGTCTGATGGGAAAACCGGACAATCATTACTGACGTTAGGTGCAGAGTTTTAGGTAATCGCGGTCATCCACTGGATCACGTGGTCGACCTCCGATATGCATTTGTAATGTCGGATGAGGTGTTATTCAACGTCCAGAGAGGTTCAGTGTTAAATGACTGGAATGGAAAAACACAGTTTCAATTCGTTTCTCGTGTTTCCATACTTTGGTGCCATCCGAAAGGGCAGGATCATAGACAAAATTTTCTGATCGGAGGATGTGATCCATGGGATTTGAGACTAATAAATTACAATAGATTCTCGACAAAGTGTAAACATATAGGTTGAATCGGAAGGATTATTCAGTCTCGAATCGTAAGATAGTTAAATTGGAAACAAGAACACATTAATTGTGTAATTCAAATTGTGTGTGGTGCAGAAGCCAATGGTAGATTTCCATATCACGTCAATCTCGACTGATGGTTAAACTTATAGATATGTGGTAAAAGAAGGTGAAAAAATAACGTCATGCAGAATGAACGCATTGACTGTTTTTCTTCAATAGGCTTCACCTCAACGAATTGGACAAACATTTTCGGAGATGCGTCGGAAAGTTGGAGGGGACAGTAATTCGAAAATTTCTTACCTCTATCTCCATAGTTTGCGAACCCTGAAGGTTTATAAACAATCCTTGCCTTTGGTGCTTTTTCATGTAATACTACAATATTTTCACCACGGCTTATTTTTTTGTTTTAAATGTTTCGAACCCATGCCAAATTCGGACGTTGGTGCAAAACATCGTTACAACATTCATTAATAAATCAATTACTCTTAAAATAACTTTCGTGTGTTTCTTTTCTCTAGAACCACGGTTATGCAGTCGATGCATCAAGTCTTCCAGATGGATGGTACGAGCTATTTCGTAATGCAAACGATCAATCTAACGAAGGCCTTGCTCATTATACGAAGCCATGGATGAGTGTGCAATTCCATCCAGAACACATGGCCGGACCGCAGGATTTAGAGATTCTGTTCAGTATTTTTTTGCAAGTTGTGAGTTGATGCGTAACTAGCGTTTATTGCCATTTATTATCTTCAGGTTATTCGATTTCATTTGGGGACTACAGTTGGTGAACCATAGTGTTTCCACTTGTTCCTCTAAAATGCAAAACCCTTCTAAGTGCACGCCAAATGCGGAGGAAAGAATGATTTTTAATGATTCAACGCACCCATGAGAAAAACTAGAAAAACCTTTCCTTACTACTAACGACCAGCATGGGTCTGTATGATGGACAGAAGAATGCGAATTCCACGCCCCATTCTGTTCATCTTCCTTCGAAAATCGACTATAAGAACTAAGAAAAATTCATACATATACATACATATGCATTCATACGCAGGTTTGAAAATCACACCTAAGAAGTAAATTTGCCCGAGGTCAAATTTCCTGTCTAGATCTATCCTATCAGATAGAAGTCTAAGCTTCAGGAGTATCGTTCTTTGCCCAAATGCGAATAGGTACTCCGATAATATTTATATCTATTTTTATCTATAATGTCCATCTGCTATCAGCATGGTCTTGTAGTTCAGCTGGTAGATCGGCGTCCACGCGTGAGTTCGGATCACACCGAGACTACTGAACTTTTCACAATTTAATCCCAAGACTTCAATCTGCCAAATAGCAATTTGAGAGGTCTATTACTTTTGATAAATACTGCAATGTGCATAAAATTACGGGCAATATTGGTAGGTAGTAGTAGTTTTCTTCCCTGATGCTCTATTTTAGTAGATATTACTGCACCAATACTGATCAAGACTTTCTGCTGGCAAAACTCCGGATTCCTTTGTTATTAACCCTAAAGGGAACCAAGATGAGTTAGTTAACAACTTCTATTTTGAATGACCGTAGAAGGTCATGAGCGATATTTTGCTAGCGTGTGGTTGCATTTTGGAAACCGCAGTTGAAACCCGAAGGTAGATGTGATCAGCTGCAGGAAAAATGCGCGATACAGAGCTCCTCGTGGAAAATAGTTTCGACACGGTTTGCTTGGACACATTAAAATGCAAGTGGGAGCAGTAAAAGTTAACTTCGGAATTTGCACACTTGCTGTTCCTCTTGCGAAAGTTTCCTTGAAAGAGCACTGTTTCCATTGTATGACCGTATGTCATTGTTTCGTACCATGCAATTGATAAAACCCGATGAGACCAGATTGGCGGGGGTCTAGCTAATGATTGCGTCCATCGTATGAAGATCTCTTAGGAAATCTAGGGGAGGAAATAAAACTGCTACTGTTAAACATTCATCCGAATCAAAGATAAACTAATAGATTACGCAATTTGCATAATCTACCAGAACAACACACCATGACAAACATGCTCTCCTTTAGTTATCCGTAATCGGGCCAATGCATACTAAATAAATACCTTGTTTGCGGCGTTGTGTTGCTCTCAATATTTTCTATGGAGGTTTTGTACATTTACGTAAAAATGATATTAAAAACACTAGATGTATGAAAGCTGTCTATTAATCCCCGGAAAAGGGAAACTTGATTTCATGAATACCATTCACTGAATCTGCTGTAGCTTATTATTGTTATTGTTGTGGCGTTGGCATCATGCTTGTCCGCAAGGTGGTTATATATATATATATATATATATATATATATATATATATATATATATATATATATATATATATATA